CGGATAAAGCGGATGAAGATGGATGGATGGATGGATGGATGGATGGATGGATGGATGGATGGATGGATATGCTAAAGGTTGGTGTCCCTGTTAGGGACAGGGATAGTTAGAATCTGATCCAGTTCATCTGATCCTTATTACCCATCTTTGTTAGTTTTTGTGTCTGTCTAACCCTGTAATGACACGTATATCACATTTGATGGATGAAAATTTGTCTGTTTTTCAGAATTCTACATCAGTGTGATGTAGTGGATGTAGCAAATACGATAAAATCCCAATCTAAAATTCCATGTGTCTCATATGTGCAAATTAATACTTTATTTCCTTCTTTTTAAAAGGGAAATAAATGGCACGGTCTGTAGTACGGATATGGACATTACATTTATTTTTATTGCACAAAAGGACAAGAGCACAATCGTAAAGTGCAAACCGTATCCAGGAACTTGTGTTAGCATTATGCTGCTTTGCAAGCATCTGTACAGACAGAATGGTAATGCTAAGCAGGCCGAGAACCCAGGGCGATGTTAAAGCTGAGTGAATGTTGACACTACCTCAGCAGGCACACCCTGAACTTCAACAGGTAAGAAACTGATGAACAAAACTGATTATCAAATCTCAAGGTCACTTTAAGAGTGTTTTTAACTTTCTTTCTTTCTTTTTTTTTGCAACATTCCAGCTGATATTATTGGTAGTATCTGCAAGCTGCATTTGTATTTACCTCTCGAGCAGTCAGCTCACCATCCTCCTGATCAATTTCCTCTGGCTTGAAAAAGACTCCAGGCAGGAAGTGGTTCTCTGGAGCTAGTGTGTCCCTATGGGGCCTCTTCTTCTGACGTTCCTTTTCTTCTCCCTGCCCCCCTGCCTTCAGCTGCCCTTCAGGGAACACTAGCACTTGGTCTTGCTGGGAGCAAAGCAGTAGTAAAGCTACATTTGTCAAAAACGCATCACCCTTGGAAAGATTGACATTTTAAGCTAGTGTGAATAGAGCAGTATGCCTTAAGAGGCCACATAAAAAGCACAGTATAACACTCACGTCTGCAGTAAGAGGGATCTCTAGGGCGGCAGTGTATGTGAAGGTAGTGGGAGCAGGGCCGGATGGCAGCATCCATGAGTCTGGGACAGAGTAGGCTGTCTCCAAAGTTACCTTTAGTAGATTAGAGGCTGAGAGGTCAGCCTCGGACAGTATTGGATCCAACACACTGACACTCACATCGAGGGTAGGCACCTAAAAAGCAGAGCAGTTTATATTTTTCATTGATATACTGCTTTAACCATACGGAATACAAATCCTAAGCACTAGATACTGCTTTTCAAACCATAATACACAACACTAAACGATTTCCTGAGTGCAATGAAAGCTCATTTTATCATTATATGTAAATTCACATATTTAACATATAATACATGTAAGTGGCTGTTTTTTTCTCTTTATCATAACCCAGCAAAAAAAAACTTATGTTTAACAACACCTTAAAATGAACATGTTCCTAAATAACAAATAACAAAATAAACCAACAAAAACATATTGCCACTGAAAAGGATAAGAGGACTCACTAACAGTTTATACAGCTTAGTTTGGTTTTTTCTGGCCTGTTGCACTTTTTATCTGTTGTATTTCTATCTGTATTTTATTTGATGCACATCACATTTTATTTGTAATCTAACAACAAGGTTGTTTAGTATTAGGAGTTGAACCTTGCTAGCATAGCATTTCACATGATAAATGAAATGAAGTGCCGGTCTTTGGCTTTCTCACCATGAATGTGTTAATTAGAAAAGCTGTTGGTTAATTTATAATACCGCAATACCACATTTAAAGTGAGAGGTATTTCTCAAAGTCCAACTTGCATGGGCACCAGAGTTAATACCCTCCGATGTCATGCTCGTTGCTGTATGGATGAAGCTACTGTTAGCTGAATTATTAAACTGATTTTGAGCAGCAACTTACCTGTGATGTTGGTATTTTACTTTTTCTTTACCAAACTCTATGACTAATTTGGACTTCTAGTCATAAATCTGTAGAATTCAACTAAGGGGGCGCAGGGACTTTTAGATAGCCCTGAACCCCTGAAGGCTCATCTGCGGCTGCATGTTAGGGATATTTTATTTATGCTTACTATAACTGTCCCTGTAGAGTAATGGGATTACCTTCATTTTCCATTTTAAAACTGCTTGGCTGGATCCTTGCTTCATTCTGGTTGCACTCCTATCTTTGTTGGGAAACTGTGGGCAATATGGATACACTCTTAAAACAATGTACAAAAAAACTTAAATTGTGAATTCTATTTTTCAACTGTCCATTATCTTTCTATTGTTTCTAGTTGTTATATTTCATATATAACTAAAGTGTCTACATGTCTGGAATTAGTATTGATTTAACAAAACACACTGTGTGATTCTTAGGCTTTGCCAAATGTGTTGAATGCATTATTTTAAAATGTCTGCAAAACTAATATTTGGAATCTCTTTTTATATACTCAACCCAACCTGTCAGTGGGTTAAAAATACTAAATACTAAACTTTTTTCTTTTTTTTTTTTTACCAGATACCGCTTGAGCCTGGGAGCCTTATTTTTGACCAGACAATAAATAGTCTCAAATTGTGGCATTTGTTTTGGTTTAAAATTGTACTTTAGCTGTAACCATCGAAAAAAGGCAATAGATGCTAAATAATTGTAGAGTCTGTGTTGGTAATCTAGACTTAATAATATAATAAGAAATAATTGTTTAATTGTTAATTCACTTTTTCAGTCAGAACTATATGCAAGCATGTCTGATCAGTGCTGTTTTTAAGTGCATTTAAAGATGTTCAATCTTTTGTCAATATTAAAAATACACAAAAACACTTGTAATTTATTTGGGTTACTTTGCTATGTAAAAATAGCAGAGAGTGTAGTCCAGGGGTCAGCAACCTTTAACACCCAAAGAGCCATTTGGAGCCGGTTTCCATGCAAACGAAAACGCTGGGAGCCGCAAATACTTTTTGACATCTAAAATGAAGATAACAATAACAACTAAGGTGTGTTGCTTATGAAATCCATGAAGTGCTACAGAGAAAGTTACATTTTATTTATGTAATTAACACATTTTTAAATCTTAAAGAAATATAACAAAAGGAAAGACACCCAGCTGAACTAAAATGATCCAGCAAACAAAAGATGCTGTGAGCCGCCACCCTTATATCACCTTTGGGCTTTTGGAGCCTTGACCTGACTTTTAAAAATGAATTAGGAAAAAAAGCACTATGCTGCTAAAAGATGAAAAATAGATATTTGCAAAATTCTGTCTAAATATGTATTTTACCAGGTTAAGGTGTGTGGAGGGGCGTGGTCTGCAG